TTTCACCACTTATCCCTTAATAATATCTACTTCATGATACTCACTTCTGTAAGGACAGTCTTGAGAATGCCATTTGTTATGGCTAATGAGTACATGCCTGAGGGCTTATCACCTGCCAGGTGCTATCCTAGGAACTTATATAATTCTCAGAACACCATATAACAGGTACTATGATTATTCAATTTTATAGAAAAGGTAATGTTATGTAGAAAGAAGTTAAATAATTTGCCTGCAGAGATAATCTGGGGAGAAATTTCTGGCCTTGGTATCAGAACAGTTGATTTATTCTTATTTTAAAGGTATCATAAATTTTTTCTAATATCATTTATTGGAAAGCTTTAGAGTCAAGTTTGTGGTCCACTTCTAACAAGAACAGAAAATTTTGACTCTACTTTTAATTTTTCATACTAACCTTATTCCTGGCTTTCTCTCAATTTTTTCCTTCTTTTAACTGTCTGCTTTTGCTTTCTTTCATAAAAGGTTTCATATCAGATGTATTCTTCTGCAATTTGCTTTATTTAATCAACATATTTTTAAGATTGACACACTTAACTGTGCTGCTTTCATTTTTATTCTATTACGGATTTCAACTGTTTACAAAAATGCCACTATTTATCAGTTTCCCTGTAAGTGGACATCTGAGTTATCACCAGATTTTGCTATTATAAAAATGCTGTTATGAGTGTTCTTCATGGTAGTGCTGGGATTGAATCCAGGGCTTTGCACAAGCTAAGCCCAAACTTTCCACTGAACTACATCCCCAGCTCTAATAGGAACATTCCTGCATAAGAGTCCAGGTGAAAAGGGAACAAGAGTTCTGAGTCTAGGGTATCAATCTAGAAGAACAACTGCTGACTTTTCAAGATAAAATCCAATTATTTCCCCAATACGTTAATAATGTTTATCAGTTATGTATATGAAAGAGTCCCTATTGTTCACATTTTTATCAGCACTTGGTATTGTCAGATCTTTTATTTTTTGCCAATCTCCTTAGTGTAACAATAGTAGCTATAAGCTCTTTAATGCTCTTAATGTCATTTTTCTGAATTAACTTCCAGAAAGATGTGTCATTTTATAATCTTAGTACCCTTAACAACATCAAGCTTGATAATTAAAAACAACTTTATACAGGAAAAAAACTCATTTAAGTTACTCTTTCTTTGACTAGGGTGACTATTTCTCTAATATGTGTATTGGTCAATTATATTTCTTCCTCTGATTTTTTAAATGTTTTTTGCTTATATTTACAAACAGAAATGCTGATATTTATCTTAACTTACAAAGTTAAAAATATATTCTCTTTGTTAATGTTACAAATCTTTTTGCCTAGTCTGTTAATCTTCTAATTTTTTTAAGTCTGTTTTATATATAGAAATTTAAAACCTTTATTATAACCAAATGTATAGATCTTCTTTCACAGGTTTATATCTAAGAACTCTTTCCTGGTTAGATAAGAAGCTAACTCAATACTGACCTATAGTTTCGACTATTATTATGTTTTGTGGTACCAGGGATTGAACCCAGGGATGCTCTACCACTGAGCTACATCCCTACCTCTCTTTATTTTTTGAGACAAGGTCTCACTGAGTTGCCCAGGCTGGCCTCTCACATTTGTGATATTTCTGTCTCAGCCTTCTCAGTCTCTAGGATTACAGGTGTGCTCTATCACTATGCCTGGCAAGTTCCTATATTTTAAACAAATACTAAAATGTATAGGCTGGGAACATGTTCAGTGGTGGAGAATTGCCTATCATGATACAGTCCTGGATTTTATCCCCAACACTGCACCAAACAAAAACAAAAACACCCCAAAATACCAATACCACCAGAAAACAAACAAAAAACCCCAAACTATGAAAACATATATTCCTCAAAACCAATCAAAGGTGATGATTAAATCTTCAGAACAAAACAGCCAATCATCAGCTGTTTGTTTTTAAAAGTCATCTAGTCTGCTTTTTTATATTTAAATTTTTACTGATATATAAAGCTTAAAAATTGTACATATTAATGGGGTACAGTGAAATATTTTGATAACTGCATGTGCTTTGTCAGTTTAAATCAAAAGAACAGAACTATTTCCTAAAACATTTGTTACTTCTTTATGGTGAATACTTTAGTCTGCTGACTTTTTAACTACTCTGAATGTTTGGGAATTTAAATTAGAATGGGATAATTTAAGCCTAATTAATCAGATTCCCTCCTCAAATAAATAATCTCAAATAAAATTCACAGTCCAGTTAACTTTCTTTTTCTCAGTTTAAAGTGTGTATCATTAGCTACAAGGCTATGAAAAATGCACAAAACAAAACAAAATCAGTTCAGTTTCTAAGAAAAGAAGCCCTAAGAGGATATTATACTTATTCAGAAAAACTTCCTAGGTTAAGAAATCAACAATATTCTATCACCTCTAACAACACTTACCAAGCACTTACATGCCAGATCCTATTCTAAGCGAGTGCTTTCTAGACATTAACTCACACAGCATCTTGAATCATATAAAATTTATTGGTAATTTTTCCTTAAGATCTTGATCAATATGAAGCCTTAAACGCTGACAAAATTAACTGCTTTTTAATATTCTGACCATTCTATGAAGTAAATGTTTCCTCATGAAATTGCTAAAAACTTCCTTTAAGATGACTCTGTCAGCAAGCAGATCTTATATCCCACTTCTGCTTTCAATAATATGAAAACTTCAGACCAATATCTCTAATGAATATAGATTCAAAAATTCTCAATAAAATTCTGGCAAATTGAATACAAAAACATATCAAAAAGATCTTATACCATGATCAAGTGGGATTCAACCCTAGGATGCAAGGTTGGTTCAACATACGGAAATCAATAAATGTAATTCATCACATCAATAGACTTAACAATGAGAACCATATGATCATCTCAATAGACACAGAAAAAGCATTTGCAAAATACAGTACCCTTTTATGTTCAAAAAACTAGAAAAACTAGGGATAACAGGAACTTACCTCAACATTGTAAAGGCTATCTACAATAAGCCTCAGGCCAACATCATTCTAAACGGAGAAAAACTGAAGGCATTCCCTCTAAAATCTGGAACAAGACAGGGATGCCCTCTCTCACCACTTCTATTCAACACAGTTCTTGAAACACTGGCCAGAGCAATTAAGACAGAAAAAAGAAATTAAAGGAATAACTATAGGAAAAGAAGAACTTAAACTAGCACTATTTGCTGACGATATGATTCTATACCTAGAAGACCCCAAAAAACTCCACCAGGGAACTTCTAGAACTAGTAAATGAATTCAGCAAAATGGCAGGATATAAAATCAACATCCATAAATCAAAGGCATTTCTATATATCAGTGACAAATCCTCTGAGAGGGAAATGAGGAAAACTACCCATTCACAATATCCCCCCCAAAAATAAAATACTTGGGAATTAACAAAAAAGGTGAAAAATATATACAATGAAAACTACAGAACCCTAAAGAGAGAAATAGAAGAAGACCTTAGAAGGTGGAAAGATCTATCTTGCTCATGGATAGGCAGTTAATATTATTAAAATGACCATACTACCAAAAGCACTATACAGATCAAAATCCCAATGGCATTCCTTATAGAAATAGAAAAAGCAATCATGAAATTCATAAGAGACCCAGAATAGCTAAAGCAATTCTCAGCAAGAAGAGTGAAACAGGTGGAATCACTATACCAGACCTTAAACTATACTACAGAGCAATAGTAACAAAAACAGCATGGTACTGGCACCAAAACAGGCTGTATACAAATGGTACAGAATAGAGGACACAGAGACTAACCCACAAAATTACAACTATCTTATGAGAAAGGTGCCAAAAGCATGCACTGGAGAAAGGATAGCATCTTCAACAAATGGTGCTGGGAAAAGTGGAAATCCATATGCAACAAAATGAAATTGAATCCCTATCTCTATTTTCTCTTACCTGAATATCGGATGGCTTTCCTCTGACTCCATAATTTCTATAGAGTGCTCTGGGATCTACCCCTGGGTAAAAACACAACCCATTCTACACTCCGTATGCCCTAACATTGCTGACAGCTTGTCAACATTCACAAGTCAGAGGTTTAGTTTGTTCATTATCTGATGTGTAATACCCATTACCAGGTTTGATGTGTTGATGTTACCTAAAGGTGTGGCAAACTAGGAGGCAGTAGCTGATATAAAAGCTGTTAAGAAATAATAATAATTGGGGCTGGGGCTGGGGCTCATCGGTAGCCCACTTGCCTGGAATGTAGGAGGCACTGGGTTTGATTCTCAGCACCACCAATTAATAAATAAAATAAAGGTCTATCAACAACTAAAAAAATTTTTAAAAAAGAAATAATCATAATTAAGATGCAGAATTTACACTGGGCTTGGTGATTCATAATTGATTGCTTCCTCATTGTAATGAATGACTAGATTAAAACATAAAAACAGAATGAGAAAATAAAGGCTAGGAGTGTAGCTCAGTGGTGCTTGCCTAGCATGGGTGAAGGCCCTGCATTTAATGTCAGCAAAAAAAAAAAAAGGAAGAGAAAAAAAAAAACATCTAAAAATCAAATACTTTTAAAAAAGTAATCTTGGAGATGGAGGTAAAGTTCTCTCTTCTTCTGTTCCCATATTGATACAGGGAGAAAACTCTAACTCAGAAGATCGAAATCTATCTAATAGGAGGGTATATGTGTTCAGTGGGCTCCAGTATAATGCAAATTAGCCATCATTTTACTAAAACATACAATATAAAGTCCTCTAAGCTGTGCCTTAACGCTTTTTCTTTTCATTTTGAGACAGGGACTCACCAAACTGCTGAGTCTGGCCTTAAACTTGTGATTTGGATTCCTGCCTCAGCCTCCAGAGTGGCTGGGATTACAGGCATGCACCACAGTGCCAGGCTGTGCCTAATGCTTTTCCATAGCAACAAAATACAAACATAAAAGCCTTCTACAACAAGGAGAATCCAATCAATGTAGAACACGATCTGTGTTCCAAAGAAGGCTTTCATCGGTTGTGACAGGACTTGGAATAACTTGTGACTCTAAAGAGAGACTTGTTTCATACTAACTGCTTGGGTCATTTTTCTCTGTCATTTTCCCTGCCTGGGATGTTGTTCTCCTTCATCTACTTGTACAAGTCCTATTTTCTGAACTACTTTTTATGGCCCTCCCGACTATTCCAAAACCCCCCTCAACTGTCCTAAGTCTTCTAAGCTCTTACAACAGGTAAGGTCTGAACCTATGAGAAGAATATGCTTTGCATTACACTATGCTTTATATTATTTGAAGTGTCTCTACCTTTCACAACATTATATACTTCTTTTTAAAAAATATTTATTTTTTAGTTGTAGTTGGACACCTTTATTTTATTTATTTATTTTTATGTGGTGCTGAGGATTGAACTCAGGGCCTCACATGTGCTAGGTGAGCACTCCACCACTGAGCCACAACCCCAGCCCCATTATATACTTCTTGAAGGAAGAATCTATGGCTTATATTGTTTGTTTTTTGTGTCACACAGAGAGCAAGGCTACTCTGTATGTGCTCAATGAATAATTTTGGTTGAGTATCAAATCTCTGCCTCATTTATAAGTTCACCTATTAATTCTGTATTTATCATCTGACAGGAGCATAAGATACTCTTTCTAGCCCATACTCTTGAATACCCAGGAGAGACTGTACCAGTTTTTAATATTGATATTTATTTCCAGGGGGGAAAAATCCTAAAGTTCCAAGGAGATAGTTGTTTGTGGGCTCTGTTTGTTATGAAGTGTCATTTTTTTTGCTTTGTATAGTTATAAATAAAATTTCTCAGTAGTATTCATCTTATGTCTAGCAAGACTAAAAGAAACAACAGAAAACATCTAAGTAAATCAACAGCACACAGGAGGTTACAGGATAGACAGGTAATGCCAGACTTGGTAGGTCAAAATGATTTGTACTCAAAGAGTCTGAAACCATTCTGGAATGAAAAATTAGGTGGGAATGACAGGTACATTTATTCATTCAAGTGAAAAAAAAAATCCATCAGTACAGTTCTGTTTTCTGTCACTAGATAATAGAAAACTTTACCATATCATTAATTTTTATAAAATTCAAGCTGGGGTAGATATACAAAAATCATTATAAAGTCACTATAGCTAATTAGGAAAATGAGAATCATTTGATCAAAATGCAGAGGGACCCACTCATCTAAATTAGAAACCTGAATTGTAGGATGTATATTCAGCTGAAGATCTTCATGGGGTACTTTTAAGTTTTCAGTCACTAAAATTTTAGCTTGGGAACCTATAGGAAATACTATCTGTAGCATTATATACTGTTTTGGCTCTCTGAAAGATTTGGATATTCTTCCTGCATCCATATTAAAGATGTTAATTATTGGGGAATATGAATGGAGCCACTATAGTACAGTGGCAAGAATATAGGATTTGCAGCCAGACAGACTTGGGTTTGGTTATTTCCTTGGCCACACACCAAGTGTGTACTGCTGGACAATCTATTGAACCTTTCCAAGTCTTGGTTACACGTGCATCTATAAAGTGAGTATAATAAAAGAAACTTCCTTTTGGGATTACTATGAAATTTAAGTTAGAAACCCATGCTAAATAATTATCTTAATATTTTAACTACATGACTAATTTATCTTGCTTGTGTTTTCCTTTTAAGTATGTATAAGAATAACATATAATAAAAAAATCTAAGCCTAAAGGAGTATTTCAATAGATATTAACTGAATATTTTTATTCCAGTTTTATGTAGCAGCAATTTTTTTCTTAGTGATAAAATAATGGTGTATCTTACCAATGTTTGTTTTAGATTCAATAAAATGTACACAGCCTTGTACCTACTAAGAACACAGTAACCATTAACTGCTATTAATGTTATTAATAAAATTGAATGTTAGTTACAAATAATAACCAGTTTTGAATGACACTTGCTTCTGTTAACTTCAGTTCTGTTTAAAGAGGGAAAAAAAAAGTCTGTCCTCTACAAAAGCAACACAGATAAGATTGAGAAAGAAAAGAAAAACTATAACAAAGTAATTCTTTTAATCTTCTCCTTTCCACTCTTCACATGAACATTTTGTAAGTTTATGAGACGAGATATGAGATGGGCAAGAGCAGAAGAACTATGCTTACAGCATGAAAGTTGAATTATAAACTCAACTTTTTCTTAGAAAACAGATTTCTGCAAATGTTTATGGAAACAGGAATGGTGAGAATAAACTTTATAAGGCCAGGTGTAGTAGTGCATGCCTATGATCCCAGCAGCTTGGGAGGTTGAGGCAGGGGAATAACATGTTCAAAGCCAGCCCCAGCAACTTAGCAAGGTCCTAAGCAACTTAGACTCTGTCTCAGAATAAAAAATAAAAATGGATGGGAATATGGCTCAGTGGTTAAGTGCCCCTGGATTCAAGAAAAGAATAAATTTTTTAAGCCCTGCATTTACTATATATAGGGCCCAAAGTAATGCAGTGAGAGGGATAATAACGTAAAATGCTTCCTTTTCACTCTTATTTAAGTTTCATAATAACCTCTGAAATAGAAGGACTGGGATTTAAAGAGTTAATAGGACAATGCCTACAACACAGTCTGGTGATTTTTAAAAATTATTCTACATGGAGATTATATATATATAACTGGCAATAATTAGAGCCATGACAAAATTACATAACATTCTTTCTACAAATGAGTGATTTAACAAGCCCATGATTAGAGGTGGTCTGTAAGATCATGTAAGTATATATGTTCCCAATATATAAAGAAAAAAAAGCAGAGTAATTAATTATAAGTTAAACTGCTAGTTTGTACTCGGAAGGAGTTGGCATCATTAAAAGTAGTCATTGCTTGAAGTTTTCTGTAGGAATAATTTCAGACATGAAAAAATCAATTGTGATGCCTTTAGAAAAATGGCTATGTTCAAGGAATCCAACATGACAACTCAATGCTCAACAAAGATGGACAGTTTAATTGAGAGAAATACAGGTCTATTATATTAGAACAATAAAACAGTTAAGGTTACAACTGTTTTTACACCTGTAAACTGAGCTAAATACTAATCTGCATGTTCTAACTATACTAAAAAAAACAAAACAAAACAAAAAAACTCCAGCTTGAGGACACTATCTGTAAAATTAGCAACACTGTCTGTTCTTTGATCTCTAGAGCTCAAATCTCAGTTGAGCTGGGCGTGGTGGTGCACACCTGTAGTCACAGCATGGCTTAGGAAGCTGAGACAGGAAGATCATGAGTTTAAAACCAGCCTCAGCAATGGCGAGGGACTAAGCAACTCAGTGAGACCCTGTCTCTAAATAAAATACAAAACAGGGCTGGGGATGTGGCTCAGTGGTTGAGTGCTCCTGAGCTCAATCCCGGGTTACCGATATCCCGCACCCCGCACCCCCCATCTCAGTTGATCTGACTGATCTCTTTTTTGATTACCTTCATCTTTTAAAAAAATATTTATTTTTTAGTTTTATTTTATTTTTATGTGGTGCTGAGGATCAAACCCAGTGCCTTATGAGTGCTAGGCAAGCGCCCTACCACTTGAGCCACAACCTCAGCCCTCATCTTTTTTGTTTGTTTTTCCTTTACTGTGCAAGAGATTGAATCCAGAGCCTCCTGCACACAAAGAAGGCATTCTATTACTGAGCCTAGACATGGTTTAATCTTATCACCCATTTAATTCTGACCATTCAGGAAGCCATTACAATGAGGCCATTCTCATTAGTTATTATTGGAACAGTCAGAATTTTTCAATACACTCATTGTATCATTGGAAAGTACCATTTTTTTTTAGAATAGAAAATGGACAGCTAAAGAGTAAAACACAAAATACAGAAATTAGAATTCAAATTAAGCTGACTAACAAGCATAAAGACAAATACAAAGAAAGACTAGGACTCTGTAGCTGAGAAATAAGTAGCTCACTCAAGCTTTGATATACAAAATAGGAAGAAACAGTCCAAACAAAAGTGGGTAAAAAGCAAAGAATCTAGTGCATCAGATGGTACCAGAGTCATTCATTTTTAGTTAAGAAAAAAAAAAAAAAAGAAGGAAAGAAAATACATTTCCCCACTCCACCGAAAATAGGAAAATGTAAGAAAAGTCTTTAAGCCCTTTTATGATGACTATAGTAAAAAACAGCTAGAAAGAGAACTTGCAGGATTTCTTTTGTATTTTTGTAATCTATTGATTAGCTCAAGGTTCAACTGTCTCTTGCTGATCTATTAAGTTGTTGAGAGTACCAAGGAGAAACCATTAAGTCAGGTCATGTGCTAAATTCCTCAGCTCTGAAGATTTTTTGTTTTGTTTTCATTTTTAAAAAATTAATGTTATTGCATTTGGGGTAAAATTGGGAGTTCATAACCCACTTCAATCTAATGTATGAAATATGATATGTCAAGAGCTTTGTAATGTTGTGAACAACCAATAAAAAAAAATTTAAAAAAAAATTTAATGTTATCAAGCTAATTAAGGTTTTAAAAAATTTTTTGTAAGGCACCTGAAATTTTGTAGTCTATATAGGTTCAGTGACCACTGAGTCTCCTCCAATAAAGTCTAGGCATGTTTTGGGGCCATTGTTTTTAGTTTTCCTAGTTGCATTAAAGCTGCTTTTTGGTTGCACATAATAAAAAACTACACAAGCTAGCATTAGCAAAAAAGAAATATGAGAATCCCAAGAGATAAAAGCAGACCATTGATGAGAAAGGAGGCAGGGCTCTCATTTCTGTATAGCTGCTTTAATTCTGATTTTGTCAGCCTTTCTTGTCCTGTGCTTCTTAGGTCTGCACAGGGTACAAAAGAGTTACCCTGGAGCTTCAGAGTTAATGTTTTACAATACAATCACCAGAAGAGACCAACTGTTCCTAGTTTTAATTTCAAATTTGCTCTGGAGAAATTCTGACTAGTTCAAACTAGATTAGGTGTCCACTCCTGGTGCATTTAACTAAATGGCAGGGTGAGTCAGAAAGCACAAACATGGCTTACAGAAACACAAACCCATGCTTGGAAAGTGGAGAGGACAAATCCTTGAAGACAGAACTGTTAAAATATGGGCTAATATATGAGGTGAAAGGGAAGGAAGAATATTCCAGACAAACCCTTGTAGTGGTACAAGGGTCTTAGGTGGAAGAATAATTGATATGAAATGAACTTGGAGAAGGAAGAGATTAAATTATACAAAGTCTGTGGGCCTTGGATTCAAGTCCTCCTTCTAAGAAC